TTCTTATTTCAGAAACAATTTTTTTCTTTTTTTAAATCAGCAGTGGGGACAAGTGAGGGAATGACATATTGGTATATTTTAATTACCTAAAATAAATAAAAAATAAAAATTGATAATTTTATTTTTATTCTTTTGTTAGCTTGCATTCTGAAGGACACTTTCCCTGAAAATTTTTTTTCGTAAGTTGTAAAACAAACATAAAATATACTGGGGACATGAAAATGACTGTTTTAGTGAGAATGACCCATATATATATATATGATATATTTTAAAGTATTTTTAATGGGCTTTGAGCTGGAGTAAAATTTATGACCACAGCTATAAAATAAGGAACCAACCGAATCATAAAATAATAATGTCCTTATTGCAATTATTTTTTTAAATTTTGAAGTTTCAGAATATCAATATGATCATCATAAAAGCATTATGTGGAATATCAGCATGAAAATAACGAATGATTATTAAATTGGTTTCGACACACATTTATTTTGCATGATCGCTTACATTTATTTCGAAGATTGTTTGTCAATTTTCCTAGACATGGCATTCATATAACCAGTTACATTGGACTTAATAGTCTATGGGGGAATGCATTGAAACGAAAATTAAAAATTGCGTTGCTTCTAATGACACTTGGACAAGCAAAGTTCGTCAGTCATTGTTTTTTTGCAAATTAAATCAGGAAGGTGCGCCTTTTGTTTGACAAGAGAGCACCGCAAGAGTGAAAGTACGTCTTAGCTGAGAACTCCACAGAAGGGCAGCATAACTCATTTGGGAGGCCTCTTTTTCAATTTCGACATAGATCTGAAAAGATATTTTTACAGATCCCTGTACTGTTTAGTGACTGATAACAGAACTTTCAATTATACAGATTTTACGCGATCGTATATTGCATATATTGGGTCTAACGGAGCACAGAACAACTAGGTCAAGCAAATTATCTTTCACCTACAGACGTAATTTCAAATTTAAAGTTTAGTGAAAAGTGGATTCAGAAAAACGTAGAAGTTTTAAACACTGAAAAATTTTTTTTCTTCAAAATATCAAAATGCAAACAAATTATGGCATGATTACTCAGAATTACGCAGTTCGGAAGTAATCTAAGAAAAATTTGCTTGCATATTCATATTTTGAAAAACCTTTTTTCAGCATTTGAAATCACATGGTTCACACGAACTCACTTCTTTCCAAAATTCCACAGATTTTATGAGTGTGGGGCTAGACTATCGACAACGTCAACCGTCATCTATCTAAAGATACCTCCAGATAAAATCGAGTTAACATGTCTTATATACTAGTAAACGGGAATTGAATAGCTGTATGGTGGTAGACTTCCCCACCAGAATTTTATCTGTGCTCGAATTCGAGGAATTAATGGATACCACTAGTGGATTCTTTGACATTTTTGCGAGAGGCTGGGAAAGCTGTATTAAGATCACAGGGCTTTGAGTGCTAATCGTGAGAGCTGTATTAAGATCATGGTTGTAGGAGTAGACGCTCCTGGGTCGTAATTGTAATCGAGTATATTCAGACCCTCGTTATGTGTGATCGAAACTGAGTGGCAACAGCGTGAGGAGGACGAAGTCGCAGTCACAAATAGCAAGTCAAGTGTTCACTGTGTTCCGTCCTTCAAAGTAGGCGTGTTCATATGGAAGTATGCGTTTCTGTTAAGGTGTTCAGATCACGTCCGTAAGTCACCATTGGTTTAAAGGTATCTCCAAATAGAATCGGGTTAACATGTCTTATATACTAGTGAATTGGAATTGAATAATTGTAATGGTAGCTATGCAACATGAGTACCAGCATTGCATGTACTTAGTGAATCTGAGCGGTGTCAAGGATCGAACCCCCACCCCTCCGGATCAGGATCTGGTTCTTTAACTACTAGGCTACTGTTGCCCAATTCACCTTTTTAATTGTTATATGCACTATATACATCATTCCTTTGCTTTCTTTAACTTTCCAAAATAGATTTTTTGATAGAAAAAAGTAATGCGCCTGTTTTTTATGCAGTCAGAATATTAACATACTCTTCAACAACATACTAAACTTCTTGGGAATAAAATTTCTCTGAAAGAATTCTCAAAAACAAGAAATATATAAATAATAAAATTTTCTAGTTCCGTACAACTAAGTATAATAAAAACACTTACCACCTGGTCCAGAACTTTGAGAGAAATTACGCTGTAATTGACTTCCCAAGCCCTAAAAAGGTAAATTTTTCGTAGTTTAATACAAGCTTTATAAAGTATAGATAGATTTTGAGAGTCTTTATATTTGTATTGCATTTTATAATCACACAATGAAATCGAATGCATCCTAGAATTTCTGGTAAAGTTATCTTAAAAACATAATTTAATTTCTCAATTCTATTTAAAATGCTAAAATTTAAAAAAAAATAATTTTAACATTTCAGCCCTGGCATTTTCCAAACTTTTAATTGCAAGCATTCCTGCTTTAAAAAAAAACTGTTTTTTTCTATGTGATTCAATGAGAGAGTTGTACTTAGTTGGGAAATTTCCGAACAATTTTACCCAGTGGCTCAAGCTCAAGGCTTAGAGGGTTAATTAGAAAGAAGAAGAAAAAAAAAGAGACAAAAAAGAAGTACGCCAGTGAGAAGAAAAAAATACAACCTCTTGAAAATATCGTCCAGAAGTATTTGGTTTCTCAAGAAAATTTTTACAATTTCCGATAGGCAAGTAGAAACTTTTCCAACATCTTGATCGTCCTCCTGAAGAAAATGAAAAATCATCACTAAAAGCCAGAATGAAGATCACTTTTTTGCCCACGAGTACTTTTTTTTCTTTCCTACTTTCAACTTTTATAACAAATGCAGATCAGTGCTACTTCCTTTGCTTAAAAAATAATTAATAAGCAAAGGAAAAAAAACTTACAACGTAGGTGCGTACAAAATTCACAAGTATTGTATTTATTCAAAAGTTGTAAGCTAAAAAGTACCCTAAGTTACGAGAGGACAAAAACAACAAAATTAAGGTTTATGCCTCTAATAGGAGATATCAGAAAGAACTTTTTACTACTCGAATAATTCATTATTGAAGTATCAACATCAACATTTGATTAATAAAGTAATATTCATAAAAATATGTATAAATATTTACAATAACTAAATGTATACCTCGAGACCAAATCTATTTTCATTAATTACTGCGAAATACCAAGTGTAAGCTTCTTGCTAGAAAAAGAAATATGAAGAATGTTACAATAGTTCATAGCACAATAAGAAACATATCTGTTACGAATTTCTGCCTGACCAACAGAGGGCGTTGTAATCACTCACAATAATTTTGTATCATTTATGTGACCAGGGCTAAAGAAAAGAGATATTCTCTCTTTTCTTTATAGGCTTATCGGAAAGCCCTAAGATATATTAAATTCAATGATATCAATAAATTCAATGATTTCAATTATATTAAATTTGCTTGTTTGAAAACATGGCCTCTTTATTCGATACACCCATTCACAACTGAATCATTCTGTAACAATATCTGAAGAAAAATCATAAGTTGCAGTATTTTTTTTTTTTACAAATATTTTAGGGACACATTTTGTTAACACTGAGAAACAAATTTTTTGTTACATTTTACAAATACTTGATCTTGTCTTATTCGGGTGTGAGGATTTTAAATCTGGAATTAGTTTTGCTCCTAAAGCTAGATTCTTTTTTTGAAATGACATATTTTATCTACTTTTAGTTGAATTTAAAAACGTTGTATTTTACAAGGGATCGCGTAAATGTTGCCGCAAACTTTTAGGGAAGTTAAAGCATATTATTATGATTAAAACTGGATGGCAACCTATGCCCAGACAAGTTGACGTGCTGGGAAATGTCGCTGTTATTTTGATCTGTTCAAATGCACACGAAGAAACAGCTCATGATAGGGAAGAGTCCCTAGCGGCGCATGATGACATTTCCGTGCATAGGTTCATAGGCAATTTTATTCCTAACAATGTGTCTTAACTCACCTATAAATTTGTCCAAACATTTAAGCGACTCCCGGTTATGCATAACACTTTTAGACTTGTACATTTCGAAAAAAAAATAGACTGAATTGTTATTTAAAAAATAAACCTGTTGCTTGGAGAGAGAAGCTTGCAGATTTGAAATCAGTATTACAAAAGTAGAAGATCTGTTAAACAGAACACAGAACACAAAATCAGAAAACAGAACACAATTTGTTCCGCAGTATAATCATTTTTCAGTTTTTACCTCAAACATTTTGTTAAAAATGGTAGCATATGAATCTAGAAACGAAAGATTTTTCTCGTGAAAGGATTCTGCATTTATCAATAGAAAAAAAAAGAAAAGAAAAAAAAGAAAGCGAATTGTAGAGGACGTTACACCAGAGGAAAAAAAAAATCTGGGGACAAATTCTCTTTCACCTACGTAAGTAATTTAAAATTAAAGTATAGAAAAAGTGAGTTAATCTAGAGTAAGTCAATAAAGAGTTTCAAATGCTTGAAAAAATTTCAAAATGTAAACAAATTATGGCACAATTACTTAGGATCATGCTGCGGGAAAGTAATCTGCAATAATTTGTTTGCACTTTGATATTTTGAGAGCATTTTTCCAACATTTGAAACTCTAGATTTACCTGTTATCACTTTGAAATACCGATATAGTTGTTGAAAGAGAATTTGCCATGTAGTTTCTCAAGTAGTATTTCGTCCTCTTAATTTACAATTTTATTTTATAACCGGTGTAATCAATCTTCAGCTATCAATGTTCAACCCTGTAGCCTTAATGATGAACCCAACAAAGAAGACAATGAACCTCCCGGATAAACATTGGAAAAAACTAGCCTCCGTCAAGGACTTTTTAATGGAACTAACCCACATTTTCGTTAGAGTGGGGGAAAAGAACGAAAACCTCCAACGATTAACCCAAGGATGGGATTCTAATCCGTGATCCGTCTACAATTGAGGATATTCTACGTCAGCACTGTGGTTGGTGCTATCCGGGAACAGAATTCGTACCAACCAGTCACCGCTGGGATTCGAACTGGGTTCACCTCATTGGGTACTCAAAGGTATTTACACATATATTACACATTATATCACATTTAAGAATGCGCTTGAAGCTTCCTTTGAATGAAATGAAGCTTCCTTCGAAGGTATTTTAATAGTACTTCGGGAAATTTCACTAATTATATGGTTTGGTACGATATGTTTAACCATAAACATAATAATATATAAAGGGCTTTTATAATTTTGCAAAAATACTTACAGCGACAATATCATAAGATTTGCGATAATTTTCATTTCCTTCGATTTCTGATGCATTTATGCACCTGCCATTAAAACAATTGATTATATAGATCAATATAAATAATGAAATTAGTTATGCATAAATTCAGTAATCCAGAATTATGTAGGCTCGAAGTAGCTATTTTGAAATAAAACATTTAATTTCAAAATTGTATTTCTTCGAATTGTAATTTCAGAATTGTGGTAGCAATCATTGTTTAGGAAGAAAATTATTCTAAACCGTAAAAATATGTTTTTCTTGTTATTAAAAAAAACAAACAATTCACTGCATTCAGATCTTCAACAAAAAATATGTTTGAGATGAGAAAACAATATATTGATGATGCTAGTTGTTTGACAATTAATTTACTTTCTGACACAAAAACGGCTTAAGATGTCTTGTTTTATTCAACAACAAAAGTTTATAATTTAAAAAAAAAAGAAATCGAAAAGTCTCTTTTGATAGAATTTCGTTGATTTGTCTATTACTTGTGCTTCTATACTGTTTATAGAGTGGCAATTCATGAGAACAAAATTAAAAAAAAAAAAAATTTCTCTCAAAACAATTATTCTTTTATTCATACTATGTCTTAACTGTGTTCAGTGTGAAGAAAAAAACTGGTCAAGCTGAATAACTTTTGATCTGATGATTGGATCTTAATATTCTAGATGTAATGACCCGAGGGAGTAATCTCAAATATGCTAATTGTGCAGACGATATTTCAAGCTACGAAATCAGCACAAAAGCGTACTTTCTCTGAATAAACATACCTTCTTTTTCAACGGATTTGGACTTCTAACCCAAAATATAAGGGGTAGTCGCAATCTGGGAAATATGGATATAGCTTGGTCAGGAGAGCGCGCCAAAGTTTAGACCCTTTAATGTTCATTTTACTTTTTGTGTACACACTAAGTCTCGAGAACTTTTTAAGCGAATTGAAAAATTTCTGCACACAATTTTCAAAATTCGTTTATCTAAAGATAATTCCATGCAAAAAGTAACTTTTAGTAAATAGTCAAAATTACTTTCTTTAATAATGTACGATGTAATGAATTGTAAGGTATAGAATCTTTTAAGGAATGTGAAAAATTAACACCAAGAAATTCTATAGTGACAATGTCAATGAATATTAATCTACATTAATATATTTAGCTATTTTATTGCATTCCTATGTTCGAAGTCATATTAAGAATATTAAATTTTTTAAGTTTCATACTTTTAACACTATTGATTAGCTAAAGTTGACCCTTTTCGTTTGCTGTCAAATCCCTAAGACCTTTTTTAAAACCAACAAAAATTCTATAGCTTAATAAAAAAATGTATTAAACATGTTTACAAACTAAAGTGTAAAATACAATATAGCAAAATAACTGTGATGATTCAAAGGTAAAAAAAAAAAAAAAAAAAAAAAAAAAAAAAAAAAAAAAAAAAAAAAANAGCGAATTGAAAAACTTCTGCACTCAATTTTAAAAATTCGCTTATCTAAAGATAATTCCATGCAAAAAGTAACTTTTAGTAAATATTCAAAATTACTTTCTTTAATAATGTACGATGTAATGAATTGTAAGGTATAGAATCTTTTAAGGAATGTGAAAAATTAACACCGAGAAATTCTATAGTGGCAATGTCAATGAATGTTAATCTACATTAATATATTTAGCTATTTTATTGCATTCCTATGTTCGAAGTCATATTAAAAATATTGAATTTTTTAAGTTTAATATTTTTAACACTATAGATTAGCTAAAGTTGACCCTTTTCGTTTGCTGACAAATCCTTAAGACCTTTTTTAAAACCAACAAAAATTCTATAGCTTAATAAAAAAATGCATTAAACATGTTTACAAACTAAAGTGTAAAAATACAATATAGCAAAATTACTGTGATGATTCACGGGTAAAAAAAAAAAATTACTTGAGTAGGAAATATAACTCATCAGCATTGTCTTTGTTTTCAACATTAAATTTCTCGTGTAGATGCTTTAAGGTTTTAAAAATGTATTCCGTAAATCTCTCAATGCTGTGTATTAACGCTGCTTCCATGTAATCTGCTGCAGGATCAGCTGCTATATCGAAAATTAACCCTTCTAAGAGAACATGTAAAAAATAAAAACTCATACGTTCTTCGCCTTTCATTTTCAAAGTAGCAGCCAAGAGCCATGAGCTAAATATAAAAATAATTGCATTATTTAGATAATCAAAAGTTATACCTTATATGTTTTAACGAATATATTTACTTTCTGTTATACCTTAAAAGATGAAACCTCCACCATTTTTCATCTTTCTAGAAAGATGCATCAATATATGCATCTTTCTAGACGCAGTAGGCAGTTAATATATGCGTATGTCATACCAGATCCCTACCATATTCTTAAATGGAATCTCGTCCTTTACCTCATCGTTGGATCTAAATCGCCTTCCTAACAAATATTCCATAAACTAAAGACTCAGGTGGTAGTCATTAGGTTTCATGTGCGTATTATAGAGTGGGTACATGATGATGTTTTATTGAAGCCATTGTAAGAAATTAAAGGTTAAATGAACTATATATTGAGATATGTGGTTTAATGCTGTGTCAGGAAAAGAGCGGAAAGCTGGTATGGGTATACAAAAACTGGCACACCATCTACAAAAAAAGAATCATCAACCAAAAGGGTGCCATTGGTTATGTAGGAAAATTAAAAAGAAACTGCTCAACCTATAAAATGTGTTCTTTTAAAAATAGTAAATGGATTTTGTATTTCGATCATAATAATAAAATAAAAGGAAAATCAATTTCAGAATTGCCCCCGTAGAATGCAGAACCTTAAAAATATTTGGAAAATATGAGACTTGCCTCAAAAATATGAGACTCTAAAGTTTTTCACATGATCTCTACTTTAATGAATTGAAAGAACTCACCAACGTAACATTTTTGATTTAAAAAAAATTTTAAATCTCAGTGCCTTAAATTTCGCCCACGTGAAACATGTTTTTTTTTTGCAATGTTCAAAGTCATTGCAAAAATATAAGATAAACTTTTTAATGCCCTCGTTATTACTAGGTTAGTTCCCGCTAGAGATGAGCTCGAGCTCTTTTGTGGAGGTCCGGTCCCGAGATACATAGGATATACGTCACTCCGAGTTATTGAGGTCTCGTCACTTGGCCTTTGTAAGAAAAAATTTGTAAATTAAAACCTTTTCTATCGCTAACCTGTGAACGAGAAAAAGAGAAGAGAACAACTAAGCCAACTGAAACTCCAAGATGACTAAAACAAGAATTAAAAAAGAAAATCAAAATCTTAAGCTAAATAAAAGTCATTTGACAAGTAACGCTAGTCTCATAAAGCAAAAGCATTGAACAGAAATAGCAGATCGCTGTAAATTTTCATACTCTACAACCGAACCAATCGTTTGCTCAAGAGTAGTAAAAAAGTTCATGATAATTTTATTATGAATCTGAGCCCGTCTGAGTCCGAAAGTAAGTTTTCAGTAAACTTTCTTTCTAGCGCATCGTGCTCGGTCTCAGGCCTTCGGGCTGAGCCTGATAAAAATGCAAGTTTAAATGGATTTGAATCGCTACTAGAAGAACTAATCTCGATATTATAGTTGAAATAAATTCTTTGCCAATTAATCTATCGATCACATTCCGATTAACTAGAGTGCTATTTAGTTCCCGTGTCAAAAAGAAAGAAAAAAAAATGCTCAATGTCGAAAGCAATTAAGGAAAAGTTGTAGTTCGGGCCCAGTACGAATACCTGAAGATTGCACATGCAAGGTGAACTTCAGCCATTATGTTAAATTTACTGAGGTCCAGAGATTGTCCAAAGAGAAATATTTAAACACTGTTGTCTAAATAAATGAGAAATTGTTGAGTTTTCAACACTGATTAACACTGATTGGTACATTGTTTTCTTGAAGCAAGATGTATCAACTCACCATATGCATTGTTCAGTTGGTCCGATGCCGTGTTGCAAAGCAAGTTGTTGAATTAATGTCAATGCCGGATTAGGAAGAATTTCTAACCAGTTTCTCCAAAGTATAGTATGCTGGATATTAATAAATGATTAGAGTATATTCCAAAGCAAATAAACAAATAAATAAAAATAAATGCCTTAAATTAGAATTTTTTTTTTTAAATTTAGATGTTTAATATGAAAACTTTTTTTTTTGTCAAACAGAAAATAGAAAAGCCGCAAAATGCCAACTTTGCTTAAGCTTCAAATTTTTTTTCGTGACCTACAAATAAGATACAATTTTAAAAATCATTCTCGTTACAAGAGAGAATTGTGAAATTTACTTAGACGTTTTTAGAAAAGGAAATATTTTGATAAAACTTAGTGTTTTAAAAAACTTGTTCATTTAACACGAATTGTAGCCATTTTGTTTAAGTAACCAATGTAAAGAGGAATTTTGGACCAGTGTATGAAACGAAGATATTTCTGCGTAAAAAGTTGGGTCAAAATGGCTCCATTCACCGGACATTTTAGAACACACCCTATTTAAATGGTTATTAAACCATGGAATTAATGAAGTACTCATTTACTAAAAGCATATGTAGGTCAATTAATAATCTGAAAAACATATAACTAATATTTCTGTTTTACTGGAAAAAAAAATTCTGAAAATTAAGTAAAATCGGGCAAAAAAAGCTTTGTCGTCCAAATATGCAGTGGTTTAACGCAGATGATCTTTACTTTAGAAATTTATTCCTTGGATCTCTTTTTCTTTGTTTATTCTATTTTGTTTTAGTTGTGTAACGTTACAAACGGAAAAATGTAAGAGTGAAAAATATTGCAGAAATGATATTAGAAAAAATTAGCATAAAACAAGAAAAAAATTCTTTTTCATTTATTCATAGGGAGTAAAATCCCCCAATTGAAATTACTACTAATAATTAATATTTTAATGGGCAGTGTAAAAGAAAAATTGAATTTAAATAAAAAGAAACATAAAAATTGAATTTTTTTTTAAATATAATAAATATATCTATAACTTTCTTAAAAAATGGTTTTAGAGTTTGTAAGATGAAAACCTAAAGCGAAGTTTGCCTGATTTAAAAAGAGTGCTTACATAAGGGTTAGATAACAAAGTAAAAAAATAGATAAAATTAAAAAAAAAAATAATTAAAAATTTTAAAAAAATGTTAACACCCTTTCTATCAAAATTTTTGAACTCTATTAGAACTGGCAGAAATGAATCCTGTTGCATTTAAATTATGGCTATTTTAATTTAAATACAACAGAAAATATTGTTATAATTATAGTTTTATTAAAACCTCATCAAGGTTTTTTTTATTGCTGACACTGTTTAAAAGCAGTCATGCAACATCTGTTTTAAATCGTATTTGCAAACAAAACTTTTTTAATTGCTTGTAATTTACCAGCTCGCATGAGAGCATTTAAAGTGAACTTAAAATTGAATTAAAATAAGATGCGTCCAAAATAAAACAATACGATGTGATATGATTTTTAGTGGCAGAAGATGATTGCACCGTTTCTTTACTCAGACGCAGAGCCGGATTATACCTTTCGTAGGCCCTAGGTATAGCCGTTTTCGGGCCATCCCCTCCTCCCCCACTCCTCCCCTCTTTTCAAAATATATACTAAAATTTTCCTGCATATTTTTTTAAACATTTTTATTAATATGGATTTTAATTTACAAATTTGTTTATCGAACTTTATCTGCAATACCGACATACTGCCGATATTGCAGTTGATATCAATAATACCATTATGATTAGTTCTATCGATAACTAGTAATATATTAGATCTTAAGATTCTGCAAAATAATTTATTGCCGAAAAATATTATATTTTTATTTGTATCTTCATAATTTTGTACAAAATACACTTGTTGTTTTTAAAACTAAATTATTTTTGTCAACATATTTTTTTTCTCCCAAGTTTTTCGTAGGCCCCTGAATTTCGTAGGCCCTAGGCACGTGCCTAGTGTGCCTACAGGTTAATCCGGCCCTGCTCAGACGAGATGCTACACAGGTGTGAATCGTAATTCTTAGATTACCACTAATCGTTTAATCGATAGCAGCAACAGATTCCCAAGAAATCACAGTGTTTGCTTACCCTGGGTCTTGGCACGTCTGATAATGATGTACACCATTCACGAGAGCTTGTTCACAGCCATTAAGCATTGTTTTCAATCTTCAATAAACAGCTTTACTGTTCTATTATAAATGTCCGCATTGCCTTTACCCTCTACCACTTAAAATCATACAACTCCACCTATTTCTTTTTTGGACGCATCCATCCTAGCATGACTTTACATTCACGTTAAATGCTCTCCAGCAAACTATTAATCAACTACGCAATCTGTGGTACACTTCCCTTAAATTATAACTTTGAGTATTGGCGCTGCTAAAGTTACTGACGCTATCACGCGTGTTTACTTCTTAGTTGATATAGTAGATTTAAAGTATTTAACAAGCAACGAGAAAAAAAATTTTACTTCTAGGAATTCCAGATTCTTTTCATAAGCCATTTTCATCAGCTGCATATACATTTGGATATGATATATATGATCATCATCTTTTCTTGCACATAATTGAATGTACATTTTCACTTGACCTCGAGTGTAAACTCTCCGAGGACCTTTCCTCAAAGGCCAAAGAACGTCTTGACCAAGGCAAGGTAAATCCTGAAATTTTTTAAAAATACTTTAAAGCAAAAATAGATGAATAATTTAACATAATAGAATAATTCGCTTAGGGGAACCGTAGAAAATCGTCACACACAGATGACACTTAATTAAATTTGGTAATATGTACTACTGGTACTATAGTAATTGGTGCAGTTTCAATAAGAATTCTTCAACGGGTTTTCGGTAGTTTCAGAAAATATTTTTCCAGTGGTGGCAAAGATAGTACATTAATATTTTTTTATAAATTAGAGTTAAAAGAGCTTTTTCCACTACTACTTGTAAGTATTTTAAACAATAAATATAGGTATAAAATAGAGAAATTGTCACGCTCCAAAGTCCTTATAAGGGTCTTCTAAGAATTCTATTTGTTTTTAAAATGTCGTCTTTAGTTTTCTTAAACTCATAATTGTAATTCTCACGCAACTCAAATGCTGAAGGGTTATGATATAAGCACAATATACTAAAATCGATATAAAGTATTCTACTGATATATTTGGTGATTATTAAAATTGTACCAATACTAAGCAGTTTTTACATCGATACTATTGCAAAAAATGTCTTGCGTTTCTTTAAAAGGGATATTGAGCCTGTGAAAATTACTTGATAGTGGTAACTTTTGACTATCACGAGTTCGCCGCGAATAATATCACCACGCCGAGTGATGCTAAATACAGTTCATTTCTATTCTGATAGTATGAACTACAAAACCCTTGTTTTGCTTAATATAATAACGTAAAGCCACCGGAAAGGGAAACAAATAATAATAAATTAATAAAAATGAAATTATTATAACTTTATTCATTGAAAAGCTTAGTGGAAGGGTAAGAGGTTATAATCAGACTAAGAAGTAAAATAGCGGTATCCAAACTGTTTTATTGCTGATTTATTAGAAGTCAAGATTAATTATACTTTGTCTTATTTTATTTACCACTGCTTAATCTGAAAATAAAGATCATGCAAGCATACAAAAAACTAATGTGGATTAGTTGTGTTAAGATAGAAAGGAAAACAAAAACAATTTTTTTTAGATAAAACATACCTTATTAATGCAACCACTTAATGTTGCTTTCACGGATGCAATAAATACCCCTAAAAATGTCCCTTACTTGGTTCTTCCAATAAACTTTTCAATTGTGTCGGTATATGCCTTTCAGGTTAATGTATGATTTCGTAGTGTTATTCAGTGCTGATTAATTGATTTTTTTTAATTCAGCCCGTACGAAGAACGGGTATTTAGCTAGTAATATGTAAAAGTAAACAAACAATCTTATTAAATGTTAAAAAAAATACCGATAAAATATTTATATTATTTACTTACATGAACCGGTTTTATAATGTCTCCAACCAGATAATCAGATTCTGCATAGATATCTCTCCTGTTTTGAAATATTGGAATTTCACTTATCCCATTAAAGATATATGAATATGATTTAAAGCATTTTATATTTTTAATAAAAGTAATTTTTTTTTGTTCATGTTAAACCAGTATGAATTATTTCATTTATTTAAGCCTCATATAGTCGCTTTTTTACAAGCCCGCTAACTGGTGTGAAAACTTTTATAAATATTGGTCTTTGATCTGAAATATTAGAGAGGCGTCTAAGCAGACGTCACTTCTCTAATATGTCCACTGTTAATCAGTTAGATATCAACCAATTGGAATACGTTTCTATTAGGATGGGAACACGTCTCGTCCAATAGAAGAGTGCCAACAGCTAGTTGCCATTCACAACCACAAGATTACGACATTTGATTGAATTATTCCACTCAAAGATGCAGTTCAGCCTCTGGCTTGGGCATCTCTATTTCAAGAACTTTGGGATCGAGTGAATTAGATCTCAAGTCAATTATGTGATCCTTAAGCAGGCTTTGATTTTACGTTTAAAGTAAATCTTTGATCCTTTTGTTTTTCTAGTATATGTTACTTATTAATTAATAATGAGATATGTTAATTACTTAATTGCTTTTATTTTTAAAATATTAAATTACTTGCGCTATTACATTTAATATCAGTCTTAGTTGAACATGCACATAGTGTATCTACCACTACAAAAGTATAATTCCAATTCACTAGTACATAAGACATGTTAACTCGATCCTATGGTGGGGCGCCTTTTTATAATGAGGGTTGACATGGTCGATTACTACTCTCGTCACATTGGTGACCCGAACGTGATGTGAACGCAACTACCTTGGCAGAAACGCTCACTACGATTTGAACACGCCTACTTCGATGAATGGTCCACATTGATCAGTTGACTAGCTACTTGTGACTACGACATTGTCCTCCTCACGTTGTTGCTTATCAGTCTCGATCACGAACAACATACACACTCGACTGGTAAAAGTCAACATAGGCCACGACCGTGAACTTAATACAGCTCTCATGACCAGCACTCAAAAAGTACGGTGACCTTAATACAGCTCTCCCGGCTTCTCACAAAACATCAATCAATCTAGTAGTATCGGTTCATCGAATTCTATCACAGATATAATTCTAGTGGGGGAGTACTGTAGTGGATCTACCACTACAAAAATATAATTCCCATTCACCAGTATATAAGACATGTTAACTCGATTCTATGGTGGGATACCTTTTCATAAATGAGGGTTGGCATGGTCGATAACTACTCTCCCCACAATGCAGAAAAAAAATAAAACTAAGTAAGAATTAATAATTTACGAAACTTACGTTTTTGTAACATCGGAAAGACTTACAATACCAGTATTCTTTTGTTTAGAGCCACCAGGGCGAACTGACCTGAAATTGTAACTTTAACGTTAGACGTTGAAATGTAAAATATAGAAATATTTGCTAAATAAATATGTATGGGTTGAGAGCGGGAAACTTGCTATTGAAATTTCGACCATATTCTGACTAGCTAGTGCTCCGAAATAGTTGCTGGAACAGTATGCCTGATGAAAATGTAAGTTTAAATGGCTTTGAATCGCTAATAGAAGAATTAATAACGATATTATCGTTGAAAGAAATTCTTCTCCAATTAATATATCGATCACATTCCGATTAGCTAGAGTGCTAGAATCTCAACTGGAGCTTTATGTCGATTGAAAAGGGGTGCACGTATTAAGGTATAAGCGGGGCGGAAACGCTATGGATGGTTGACCGTGTATAGCTAAGCGCAGATGGCCCCGGCGGGTTAAAGCTCGTCGTAAAACATCCGGGTTACTACTTCCGGTTGATTTTTACGTCCAATCTGGAAAAAAACGAAGCCATCCAATATTATTATACTTGTGGTGCATCCAGTGTAACGCGTTCTTTTAATCTAACCAACAAAAGACTCCGCAAGCTTGCTTTAATGCTTTCCAAAAAATACGAAATGGCGCTATTTTGCGCAAATATAGCCAAATAAGAGATAACACTCAAAACATATCAAACCTTGCATTTTATTTAGGCTGTGATATAATTAAATTCTTAAATTTGTTTTAGGCCCAAAACCTGTAAGAATTTATAAATTACAGAAAGCTCTTATGACTAGTAAGTAAAACTATGCCTAAATTTAAACACAAATCACAATAATAAAACTTACTAGAATGTTAAGCGTGTTCACACATAGCATCGTAAGCATAACATAAGCGGAAGGATACACCATAAATTTTCAAAAATTGTTCCTCTACTAGGAAGTTTGTTTGAACAGTTTGGAGGCATATTCTTTTAATATTTAGAGTGGATTAACAACATTTTACTAAAATCTAACGCAACTTGCTTAGGTATAGAGGGTAGTGTAGTTGGATGATTAAAATTGATGCATAAGAATTAAGAAAGAAGTCTGATATCAATGCCTGATTTAACGTTCTCGTCAGCAATCAATTGTTTGTAGATATCTTTTTGACGGAATGTATTAAAAAGTACCGTTTTGAGGAAGATGAGCACAAGGTATTCAGATCATAATCAGGCAGTGCCAGTTTCACCCAAAGAAGTTCTTATAAAACAAGCATTTCAAAGTCTTATTTTTCTCGAAGCACATAATTTTAAAACTTCCGAATGTACTCAATTATTGTTTTATGTATCCAGTTTTAAATCTTCCAAATTTTATGGAATGATTGGTTATTGTATAATATCAAAATATAAAATTTCTGTAAAGATGAAATCTAATTACTTTATTTTCGACGCTTTTGAATACACTTATATTTAAATAACAGCAAGGAAATGCCAAACCCGTAATACAAGGAGGTAGTTTAAGTTACCCTGTTTAAACCAACATAATGTCCTTCCTGTCACATGGTTAGAGAAGAAGCTTAGTGTATGTTGCAAGGAGATTATTAAAATGGGGAAATCTGTAAGCTAAATGATTAATTCACGGAAGATGTTAAAATAACAATTGTGAGCGTTAAATTCTTTAGAGAAAGCGATTTGATCAAAACTTTCAATAAAAACTGAAATTTTTATTTTTACTTAATCCGATATTCTAAATATTTGAGATCATTTAAAAATAAATGATGTTTTTACCCAGAATAAAAAAAAAGGGATATTTATTTTTGGATTAAGTTGCTCACCGCAGTAAAATATTGTAGCAAAGACTGATAGTCTACTTACCATACTTCGATGTGTAGAATTTCAGTCGGATATTTCTTCAACTCGCTATTAAAAAGTAATGATTTAATTCCAGTTAAAACAATGATAAAATTTTCTATTTTTATTTTGATTTTGTGATAGAAAAGTATTGAAAAAAGAGTGAAAGATTTTAAAAATGAAAGAGAATAATTTCAAGCAGAACAAAGCATCACTTAAAAGATCATTAGGGCACATAATTAAAGAGCATGTTTCTTCGATTTTTATGTCAAAAATACAAAATTTTATCATTAATTTTCAGTGAGTTTTATTGCGGGAAACGGAAAATGGCAACTAAGCTTGATTTTTTTTTCTTTTAATGTAAACACAATGTTTCTTTGAAAATTAAGATAATTTAATATTTTTTCAATGAATTTAGAATATTAATATCCGTAAAAGGGAAGTGTGCTAACTATGCACATTAAAAATTAGGTGAAATAGGGATCCGTAGAAGTATTCATTGTATATCAGTAGAAGGGACGTTCGTTTAGCAGGCTGATTCAAAAATAGGTGAAGTAATTAAGTATACATATGCTTCGAAAGGAAATGTGCTGATCAAGTTTATTTAATACTAGGTAAATCATGTATATCAGTAGAAGGGATGTGTGCTGACTAAGCTGATTAAAAAACACATGAAGTAGGAAAGTATACATATCTGTAGAAGAGATGCGTATTTATTAGGCTGATTCAAAAATAAGTAAAATTGGGAAGTTTGAATTGATTGACATCCTTAAAAAAATTGTTTTGAAGATTAGCAATAAAAAAATATATTGCATTGATTTTTTTAGATAGTTGTGATTGATCTTATATTATTATATTTTCAACCGAAAAGCCATAGCCATTATCTTACATATAAACTTAGTTTAATACCGCGTTCAGTATTTTAATTTTTTTTACCGTGTTACTAGCGCTCGAAAATTTCAGTCACGAGGTCATTCATTCTTGGCAAGCTTCGAGAATGAGTGCTTAACTTTAAGGGCTCGCATCAAGTAAACTTTTATTACCATGTTCATTTTTTTAAGTAAATGTTTCTTGCGCTCAAAAACAAGGACTCATTCTCAAGATTCGCTTGACTGAAATAATTGTAAAAATTGAATAAGGAAAACAGAAGTAACCTGAAAAAAATTTGAAGTATACGTTCAGAATTTATAGAAACATCGGGATGCTATAAACTAATTATCTTTATCCAAAGAAAAAAATATAACTCACATATTTGGCAGAATGAAGCAATACATTATTCCTAAACATACGTTTATCAATGTTTTTAAAATGCCAATTAACATTCAATAATTTGTTTAATGATAGAAAAAAGAAATATCATAAATTATATAAAATGAATGCGTATAATAGTTATAATCTCTTCCAGACACTCTATTTTTCTTTGGGAACTTTTCTTTTGTCTCGAAATCTTCTTGCCTAGAAGCGTAGAGCGTAAAGATGATTTACCCTACCTTTCAACTCTGCATACAATTAAACGAATTAAAATGAATTTTGGAAATTTGGTTTTAGTATAAAATCTTCATACTTAAAAAAATTGAAAACAGCGGAGAAAAACACAAATAATGTCATATGAAAAGATTTTAGGTTCAAATTCTAAGATCTTGGAAAATCATAAATAATTTGTAATTCCATTCAAATTTTATTTTCAAAGGAGGAAAACAATCTTAGCGTTTTGATTAGGAATCAGTCAAGAAAAATGTCTGTTGCCTTGAAACTCAGAGATATTTTTCTATTAATTATTAAAAGATAAATTTTCCCGAGCTAACTGAAAACTATGACAAAGATTCAATTTATATTTCATTATTTTTTATGGTTCTACCTGGTTGCTTAGCAACAGAGAAATGCTAGGTATTCCCCTCTCGTCGAACACTCAGTTCGTTTAAGGTTATCTTAAATTTCTCCTCCTGTTACGGCGATATTATTTGGCTATTTTTGGGAGATAACGCCAAATATATATAGCTTCCTAGCACACAAATTTGTGACCCAATTTTTTTCGAAATTTTGTCTACTCCCTTAAAACATTAAGATTGGCATTTAGTACTTGAAAATTGACTTAATCTTTGGTGTCCCCATGAACTCAGAAAACATGATAAATTTTAGCGTATTTTATTAGTAATATAATTTTTTCGCATTGCACACTGTGCCTTGACACCGCACCAGACTATGCTTTTTCCTCCTCCGAGTTGGTATTTTAATCATTTTTAGTAGGTACAAGGTAGTATTACTAAATTTTTAAAGGAACATATAGAAAGTACAGATAATTTTTTCTACCTAATTTTTTCAATTTATTTTCTAAATATGAAGAAAACAAACTCACAAAGTAAATGCATCATCCCAAAGCAATTTTATGCTTGAATGACGAATAGCAGTTTGACGTTTGATACCAGCGTCTGTCCAAATTTTGCAATAAACATTGACGAAATCTATTTCAAATGAAACAAAATGCTAAACAAAAATAGATAAAAAGTTTTACTTTAAATTTATTATTTTATCTGAAAAAATTATAGATTTTATGCTTACCGCTATTGAAGAACTACATATTGTTTTGTGGCATATTTAAACTTTACTTCTGATGTATCGTGATTCTGAATTCAAATAAATTAACATGGTTTTTCGAAGCTCATTTGCCAAGGAAAAAAAACACCACACTTTAGGTACCTTACACTTAAAACGAAGTCATAAATTTAAACTACATGTGCCACCTTGGTGTGAAGAGTTATCTAAGCTTTATAACGGACAAATAACTTAAATATTTTAAAAGTTATTAAGCTTTTTCAAAAGAGCCAGTTTGGAGACATTTTATCGCCTAGAAGAAAATTATCAAAATCAATGCCTTATTCTACCTTTTCTGCAAATTTTTGTGAGATAAATAAACATTGTAATGAGTTTTTAAACATAAAAAAAATTAGACCACAAACGCTTTTTATTTTTATTAAACTGTAGCTTTTCTCCTTATTGACGTTTTGAGCCATTTTCAAAATAAGCATTTAGGGCGCTAACCAAACATAAGCTAAATTTGACCTAACCGTGACTTTGACTTACAATCATGAGAAACTGTTGCAAACTCATAACAATTACGAAAGTAGTATATAATTCATATTTCACGAGACGTTATTAGAATCTTCGAAAAACAGTCTCAACCGTTATAACTATTTTTATAGCGATCTAATTTAAAAAGAATTTTTGAATGAAGATGGGTACCGAGAAAGTGTTTAGTATATTTTAAATTGAGATCTTGCTCCAAAATAAATACGGTAAATCAAAGTAACTAAGACTAAGGAAGTAAGTAACTAAATAACGATGACTAAGTGGTTAGGGTACTGGGAATCCACTCACAAGGGAAACTAGGGAAGTGTGACTCGCCAATTTTGAAATAAACTAGTCGAATGTATGCCTTATGAGGAATAATTTTAAGGGGCAACATTCGTTTCGGCCCATAGAAGGTCCTGTGAGAGATAAAAAATAGTTCAATATATAGAAAAATCGGTATTTTATTACTTCAATGCAGACTATTAGTTATTGTAATTGTCTCATACTCCAATTAATTTGGAATTAATTTGCTAATTAATAAATTAATCAAAAAATTAATTAATTATTAATTAATTGTTGATTAATTATTCATTGATTGTTAATTAATTATTAATTAATTAATTGATTTGCAATTACATACTCCAATTAATTTGGAAAGTTTTTCGAAAAAAAAATTTAAAAAATTTGATGTCAATTATATTTTTAAATTAACCTAACAGGTTTTTATGAAAAACTACAGATATATAAAACTTTCGAAATCAATTTTGACAATAAATATGCATTATATAGTACAGTACCACAAAATTAATTGGAGTATGAGACAATTATAATAACTAATAGTCTGCATTGAAGTAATAAAATACCGATTTTTCTACATATTGAATTATTTTTTATCTCTCACAGGACCTTCTATGGGCCAAAACGAATGTTAATTTATTTATTAATTAGTAAATTAATTAATTATCCAATTAATTACAAATTAATTGGAGTATGAGATAATTACAATAACTAATAGCTTGCATTGAAGTAATAAAATACCGCTTTTTCTATCTATTGAATTATTTTTTATCTCTCATAGGACCTTCTATGGGCCGAAACGAATGTTGTACCCTAAAATTATTCTTCATAAGGCATACATCCCACTAGTTTATTTCAAAATTGGCGAGTCATACTTCCCTAGTTTCCCTTGTCAGTAATCGGTAGCAGCTTTTCTGGAAAGCAAACGTGGTCGAATGCGATTTACTGCCACCATATGAGGTCGATACGATATGCTGCTCTAGTTTCACGACCCTTTCATTCGGGATTATAGTAAACAAAATTCTACAAAATTGATGTCTATAGATCTTTTGTTATACTCATATGAACATGCACGCAACATCAACAACATATTTTGAGACATTAGATCACTTGAGCTATTGAAAACTCCTTTACAGTTATTACGCCAATCCTACACAAGCGGGGAGCTTTGGGTCGTGAGTTCGATCCAAGTGGCCAACTAAACAGACAGTGCCTATGAGCCAGCAAGGTGCATATGAAATTTGTCTCGATTAAAAGTCCTATTTTTGGTCCGATACGAAGTTTTAGATTATTAGTGAGAGAAAATTTACGTGTATATTGAGAAACAAAGACAATATAGCCTTTAAGTCTTTGTCTTACTATTCTATAAGGGTAAATTTGATAGAATTTTTATTTTTAAAAAAAGAAATTTTTTTAATTTTTTTTAACGCTATTCTATGATTTAAAAAATACGCAAAATTGAAGACTTCAATTCAAATATCTCCCTCGAGACATTTTTAAAAATATTTTTAGTTTCTTACAATTATTTAATTTAAATTGTTCAAAGATTTTTTTCAAAATGATCGCTTTAGTTCTTAATTTAGCTAAAAATATTATATTTTGATGTGAACAATATTTAATATATTTTTATAAAAAACTACCCAAATTTTAATTTGTTTTTCTTTTAAATTTTAATAATTCACGCATTAAATTTAGGAAAAAAACTGCACATTGTTTTCTTTACATTATCTTTTAACAAATGTATATCGAAATTTTCGAATTTCTGCAGAAATTTCTGCAAAATAATATATTACAAATATCCTGGAGTTATATATTTTAGTTGTTGAAATCTTCCTGTCGTGCAATTGAAAAAACAAGTCAAGTACTTCACGATAAATTTCGAGAAAAGTGACTTGACAACTATTTTCGTTCTATATTGCTAATGCTATGGATGCAAAATATAATTTCAGAAAACTGATAAATTAAAATTTTCGAAAAAACAAATTGTAATATGTATTTTATCACGCCAAAATAACCAAACTATAAAAACCTAAATTTTTAATTTTTTGTCACTTCCGTTGACATTTCTATTGCACGACAGTACTGTATTAAAGTTTTAAGAATATCGACACTGAAAAAAAAAAAAGCTTTCGAAGCTTTAGCATTTCTCGATATTCCATTGGGGTGATATAACAGGCTTTCTAACAAGCAAACCCATTTGTACAGAAATAATTTTTTCAAACAATAAAAAAAGATCTTCAAATTTTAAATTTTTTTTATACTGTAGACAACCTTGAAATGCTTATTTAACTAAAAATGATTCTTATCATCGTAAGAATAAAATTACGTTTATATTAACTGATTAAACTTTAAAAAAAATTAACCTGAATATTTGGGATGAATAATTTGGGCTTCCTGTATTACAACAGTCAATTCTATTGCCTTTGGCTAAAAAAGAAAGTTGAATTAAATATGTTTATGGACAGACAAAAGTAAAATTTATACTTAGCTATAGTTCATTCACCAGGAGTTGGCCCCACCTCCTCGGACCAGAGTTCATTTCGACGAGGGAGTAAGAGGAGAAAATTCTCAGTGTTTGAAATTAAGACAATCCTTATAAATGCGCGATAAATCCAAACAGCGAATTTTTTTTCAGTCACTTACTTCGCTTTATCATCTGCTAATATACCTTTCGTTACTCTAGCTAATTAAATAGATTGCAGCAAAATATTTAAAAAAGGACAAACTATTCACTCAAAAGAGAAAAATATCAAATTTATGAAATATTAAATGTAAAGAAAATGCACATGAAGATTGCGAAATAAATATTTTTGTCATATGATCGTGAAATAGCAACCTTGTTCAGGATTGCTTACATCCTTCTTTCAAAAATAGCGAAATAGTGTAGCCAGATACCACGTGATGAAGGCGGTGTCAAGTGCCAACTCTTGGTGAATTAACTATAGCTAGTGTGTTAAAATAATTGCGGAATTAATTATGTAACAGGATTGAATTTTAATAGCATTTAAATATGATAGTATTACTTACTTTGTGAATTTCATACTCTTGTTGAATGATAGAAGGATCCATTTCACTACATAAGTGCAGTATATATGGATACAGTTGCTTTGGCGTAGTGAAATATGGATAGCATGGTTCCCCAATGTAACATTGCATAACACTTACAGCAAGGGCATAAATGTTCTCATACTCCTATAGAAAACATTTAAAATATAGCACAAGACAGATTGATTTCGTATAAAGAACTACTTTCTTTTTAAAGTAACTCATTATTTTTGTTGATGTTTATGAAATCCTTTAAGATATGTAATTTATCATAAGTGAAAGAGGTGGTATTATAAAATACAATCTTGCTTTTAGATTATCTGTCCATAAGCTATTTTAAAAATTCGACTATTTCTTATGCAGTTTAGTTTCAACTAGCGCAGCTATTCTGTGTTATTGGCCGGGATAGCCTGGTTAGTAGGGAGTTGGGCAGATGTCCAAGAGGTTGTGAGTTCAATCCCCGCTGACCGAAGAATCCCCCGTGTCGTAAAAGGTGACTGGCGCACGTTAAATCTGTCTGGTCACAAAGTCCTCCTTGTTCCCAAAACAAATCTTACTTCTGGGGGTACTGAATTGGAAATCGATCGTTGTCTGGTTCAGGACAAAGTTACGATCTGTGTATGAAGGATGGGGGGGGGGAATGATGGGGCAAATTGCATCTCCCCCAAAAATCGCAAAAAAATTCGTAGAACCTCTGATTTATAAAGTAGCAATCTAAAAAGAACGTTCTAGCGGATGAATTAGGAAGTTTTTTTTTTCTGAACCATGAAATAAAATCAAGTCCAACTTGCTTTAAGTTTTAATTTAAAGTAAAATATTTTACAAGTTTTAATTTTAATTTTTTGGCTTTCTGTGCAAGGGTGTAGCAGAACTAAAGTAGTGAGCAGATTGTTAAATACCTCAATATTGTTAAGCAATTGAATCTGTTATTCTTTTTCTTTGCAATATCGCTTAAGGCTTGGAATAAAGTTTTGTTTAAAAACTTTGCGTAGCTGCCAAAACCGTATCGGTGCGATTTAAGGGCAACGTATCAACGCCAACTAGTTTCAAGTCAGTTAAATTGTACTTCATCCAAAGTGTCGAAAAGTGCCTGGGAATTTTTTCTGGATCATCTTTCACCAAATACCAAACTTGTCATCTCTAGAATGAGATCATAACAGGACTGCAAGAACTGAGAAAGAGATTAAACTATTCTAGTCCGTCAATATTTGATAGCAGAAAATAGTCTATCGATACGTGAATCAATAGCAAAGAAACGAAACTATATTAGAATATGAATTCAAGGTTTTAATATCCTTATGATGAGACTTAGATTTCTTATTCCCAGGAAGAAAAAAGTGGTGAAAATAATCTTTTGGTTAGTGAAATAATAATCTAGTTATTATTAATTAGTTCAGTAATTTGGCAGACGGATTTATCTCTGTACTTTCAAGTAACGGTTAAAGGTCAATCCAACCAATTTTCCCAGTTTCTGAAACCTAAGAAAAAGAAACCGGTTATAAATTCGAAAAAGATATAGTCTTAACGAGCAGCTTTGTAACACGTAATATCATATTTTATCAAACTTTCAGAGACCTAAAATACTGTTATATGTAACAGATCAAAAACTTATCATATTTCTTGGTATGCTATTAAACAATTGTATAAGTTTACACATGGCATTCTCATTCACTTATTCATAAATACTCAATACTTTAAAGATTGGTACGCTTTAGAGAGGAGGTGGTACGAATTAGGCAAACTACTTTTTTTGGATTTCATATTTTTGCTTTTGCACAAATATAATGCCGATAATCTAACAGATTTTTTTAGTAACTATTAGACTGTTTTTTTATAGTTAAAAATTACGAAAATATATTTTTGCTTGTTATTTAGATCCTCAGAAAAAAATATAAAAAAGGGACAACGGTGTCCCACTTACGACAAAGGATTAAACAGCGTTGAAAGGGTACGCGTGTTACAAAAAACGGACGCATTATGCAAGACGCACAAAAGGCAGCACTGCGCAAGCCCAACAAATACATGATCAAAAAGCACGGAGGAAATTCGCACATATCAGAACCAAGACAGCAGTCACAGAAAGGCTTTTGCCATACATTCAGAGTAGAGAAATTATGAAAAGTGAGGTGGAATTATTTGTCCTTCAATCATTAGATCGCACACGTAGTTGTTGTTGTTGTTTCCAATACCTGCTGGGATAGCGGAGCTATACCAGATCCATGAGGCCGTGAGCCTTCAAAAAATCGAGGAAAAGGAGAGGTCTCTCAATAACCTCTTCCATGGTGAAATCCAGACAATCAAGTAGATGGTGAGGAATAGCCTTGCTGGAGTTGCACTTTTTACATGTTGGAAAAAGTTTAATTTGTCCACTGAAAGTGAGGCTCTTAGTATGGATCGTACACGTTGACAAAATGACTCTACCAAAGAAAGTTTGTGATGAATTGGGAAATCTCATTATCAAAATAGGATGAATGCTATGAAAACCTTGCATGTTTTCCGTCATAACCATCGCCCAAAACGCAGTTTCCCGCAAGCTCTGTGTAATTTAATAAATAAATCCTAAGAAACTCGCTGCACCTGTTATAGATAACGATCCGGACGGCCAACTGTTCCTGAGGACGCTGTTATGGAAATGCATCAAATAGTGACTTCTGAACACATGCAAACTGCAAGAGATGCCGAAATCAACAGTTCTAAAGCTACTACGCTCTGTACTCCAAATGTTTCCATACTGATACCAGCGTGTTGAGATGTTTAACGCGAGGGACCGTCTACAGCGTATTGACAACGCTAATGAATTTCTTATCCGATATGATGACGATAAAGACTGGAATCTTCGCACATTATGGACGGGTCTTCGCAAATCGCTCATTTTATTCTAACTTGCAATATCATTACCAAAAATTGTATGCACTGATCAAACACGGATTCGTATGCTGTGGTACCAGTACCTTTATAAGACCCCAAAGCTACTGTGTGGTGCTGCATTTCAAGCACAATTGCTCTCGCCTTGTACTTCTTTGAGGAAGCAACACCAACGGGGTTTGTAACATGCTCTGTGATCGTTTGACATCAACAATGACATCGTTCGGATGCAGGATGGTGTACTTCCAATTTTTGCGACGTCTATTCGATGGGGGGTAGGGGTTTATTCGCAGGGTTTTGGTAATCGTGTCATCTCACGCCGATTTCCATTTCCGTGACCTTCACGATCTTCCGATCTCACTCCTATGGATTCCTGACAGATTTGAAAGATTCGATTAAACTTGCGATTGCAAACATCCCTCATGCTATGTTACGTTCTACTTTATTCTCCACAGTCTCCCAACATGCAATGTGTACTCGCGTGTGATGGCACATATGTAGAAAATTTGTAATTGGAAATATGCTTTTAATTTTGTTCGATCTGTGTTGGCATCAGTGGTTGTTGTCTTCTCTCATATTCTAATTCTCTTCGTGAGCTACGATTGTGAGTCTTTTGACCGCGCTCACACCTGCTTTTTGTGCACCGTAGATTGTCGTTTATTTTTTGGAATGCGTTTACTGTTTCAACGCTGTTTAGGGTTTCTGCATGACCTGAGAATTTTAAGACGAAAAAGAATTAATGTTGCCATTCAAACACTTAATTTTTTTTATACCATAACCATAACCGGGAGTGCCAATTTGCTGCTGTTCTGAGAACCTTGAGCCCATACCTTTGAATAACTATGTATGAAATATCATGTAGATCGGTTCAACGGACCAGTCGCTAGAGGTTCATAAGACGTTTTCTTATGACCACCCTGAACGTGTCAATATAAAAAATTTAGTATTAAATTATGATACATTTATTTTGTTAACTAAATTATGCATTCGCTTTTGAAAAAAAGGGCGAATGTATGATTTGGTTAAACTGAAAGCATAATAAGACGAAATAGGGGGTGAATGAATAGGAAAGTGCAAAAATGCAACGTGGGAAGAACGAAAGAGAATCAATGAATCAGTGCGCCAACGAATCGAAGAATTAGCGATCAGTTAAAAATCAGTTGGGGTAGTGAAGCAATTATTGGACAAATCATTGAATCAGCTAATTTGCGAACAATTGTAAGAGCAAGCGATTGGATCAACGAATCGTCAAATCAGGGAATTGGCTAATGAAGACTTTAGACTAATTGGCTTTTGTTTGTTAATTTACATTTACATGAATTTTATTTTTCTCAAAACCCGTTTGAAATTCCTTTATTGTAAAATACACGAACTTGGAAAATTTATATGATAGTAATAAATGAATTTTTTTTAAAATAAATTTCAATTCTTTTAGATATTAATGCAGAGGAGAGAAACACCATGCAGACATAGAAAAGAAATGTTTCTTTAAACATATTAAATTATTTTATGATAGGTAATAAATAATAGTTTAGCTATTATGAATGTTTGCATAATAAACAGAATAAATAAATGGAACTATTAAAATAAATATTGCAGGAGATGTCATATTCTTACTCTAACATGGGTTACAATTTCTACAATGGACATTCTTGAAACTTCCTCTGGTGGTGGTATGACGCTCTTCCTTTTACTTTGAACGACCTCAACTGTTGGTAAACTGCTAAAAGTAAAATAAAATGCCAGTTGCATGACGCCGTAAGGAATAAACTTTGAAAAATAAATAGAAATTGCAGTCTTCGATATAATTGAACTTATAACCTTTTTTTTTATTTCAACCTGCGCAAGTCTTCGAACATTAGGTCATTAGTTGAGGAGCATCCCAATACAGTTAAAAACGTTAAAACAATCTTCAAAGGTATGGTCAGTGACATAAAAACAATCGAGGACAGTAAGGCATATTCTGAGGTGTTCTCCAGTTCAACCAGGGTCACAAAAAAGCAAGTATCTGTATTTACTGGTCCCAGAACTTATAACCTTAATATTATCTCATAACAAAGCTAACTCTATAAAAGTTGTAGGATAAGCATAAATAGGAAATGATTAAAAAAAACTTTGCTTATTTTATCATACTATGGTAATGCATTTATCTGTTTAAAAGGAAAACACATATGTGAAGATTATTAAAGATTTATTTTTTCTAACCGGACATTCTTCAGGATTGTCATAACTGGACGTTATTAGACAGGCATGCGAAAAAATTCTTCCTAGAAACATATATCAGGTGTTATAAAACTCATAACCATAACTTAAGGAATGTTATAACTTGCCAAACGAAACTACTTTCACTATACGTAACAGTGAATGTAAAACGAGGAGCTTTTTTTAAGGGTGAAACGTCGCCTTTCACAGAAACTGTTATACAGCTGCAATTCATCGCCAGATATGCTGCAATATTCGAATATAAATGTATACAAACTGACAACAAATGTATACAAACTGATATACATTTGTGTGCGTAGCTATGAACAGTAATAAAACGGAAACAGTAAAACTTTTTCAAGGGAGATTTTTGAATAGGATAGGATGCACGATTGAATCAGCGTCGCAGTCGCAGATGGGAAATGCTAGGAATTTACCATTGTCTTCTTGATTTGCCGATTGTGTGACCTATTGCAGCTAAAGAATCATTATTTGAGCATTTATTGTAAAGATTTCAATAATAAATATTTTTTTAACTTTAATTTTTCGTATTTGGTTTTTTTTTCTGTTTCTTACCGAGCAGGAGCACTCTTGTGAATCACATTTTGCATTCTAAACATTGTATGGTCAAAGTTTTTTCCTGACAAGTTATATCATCCCTTACAGTTGTGACCCTTAATTGTGTAACACAATGAACTGTACACATGCAGTTCATTTTGTACTGCTTTGTACTAGATAAGATAGCGCTATTTGAAATTCCTTCTCATATTAAGTCGTTTTAAAAAAGGTTCTAATCCATTTCAGGGGCCTATAACAAATACAAAAATCTAGAATGTAATCTTGAATCATTGATTGATTGAGGATGTATGAAATTTTTAATAACTTCTAAAATGGAACAAAGAAATTTTAGTTTTTGTGTATTTCTTGCCACACTAACTCACACAAATACGATTCGAGTCAATAGAGTGGGAATTTTTTTATAGTCCTCGAAACTAAGCATTAAAAAAAATGCTAGGTTGTAAGCCAGTGTAACTAGCACCAAAGTGTTCTCATAACTCTTTGAATTTCTTACATTTTGCTTAAGAGCAGGAACCCCGGTCGTTTGTATAATTTAAGTGGCCACTTTTTCCACTTGGCGAGTCAACGGAAAACTGTGGGGACTTAAATTAAATAAACGACCGGTCACTTTTTCTAATAATTTTTTTTTCTTTGAAATTATTTTTAATGTGCAATATTTTTATAACCATAGATTGTTTCGAATATGATTTTTTTTTAAATATATTATTTAATCCAAGCAGAAAAAAGAGCAGAAAGTGGCTATTATGTAAATGAGAAGAACCTACCGGTGTTGGTCGCCGACTCGGTAGGTTTAAGAAAAAGTGGCTACTAAGCTATTAGAACCTACCGGCCACAAGCTACTAATTGAAAATTTTAATTTTTAATTCTACTATGGAGCAGTACCACACGTTTCCCCAGAAACTGTTTTGCCCTAAAAGTAGCCATGCTAATCAATTAAGCTTACGTAGCAAATCGCACGCAATGCAATTCCACTTTTTCATGCGATTTATTTGGTAAGCATACCTTTTACAGCTAGTTACCTTACCATACTTTATATCAGGTTAATAATATAAAGAAAAATCTTGCCAACGTATTTGTCTGCGACTATGAAAGCAGTTTTCTACGTGGAAATGAACACTGTACACAACTAATAGCAATACAGTTAGCAGGGTTTTGTAAATAAAATTGTATGATTTTGCCTCCCTTTACTATACCATTTTCCCTTATTAATCTTGAAACAACTGGAATTCCTATTATTGATATAATTTTGAAATGAAGCAACAAATTTCACTTGCCTGTTGACTTCGCCGAGTCTTGATGTATAATAATTACAAAATGCACTAATTTTACATAACTTTTTTTAATCTTAAAGAAATGGCTGAATTAAAGAAAATCCAAAAGTTGATATTTCTGACTACACAGTGCCGTACAGTCGACTTGTCTTCGAATAATTAACTGTTTTGTTTCTAAAATACAGATTTGCGTAGAGTTAGGTGACGTAAAGAGGGTATATGTTTAAAAAAAGAAAACATCTATTTTCTCCATTTAAATTGAGACAGTTTGTTTATTTCTGGAAACATTTATTGGGGTTGCGGCAAATATTTTCACTTCAGTTTTAAAAAATTGATAAGATATCTAATGTTTACAAACTGTCTGCTCGGTTATGATCAACTTATACACTATGTTAGTTTAAACGGTTGATGAACTTTCTTCTAATATCATTAAAAACCAACCTTAACTGGCATCAAAAACTATTAATTTTAGTTCAAACTGGTAGAAGGACATAGAAATTTACATAGACATCTACATAGAAATTTAAAAGTAAATTTCGAAATTCTATTTCTTATGAATTGTTTTCTGAGGTGGGTATGGTTAGGCTTAGCTAAATGTTACGTGATAGGATATTTTTGATACTTTTGTGTTAGCTTTTGTATGTAATAGCTAAAAATAACTTACAAGTTTGATGATGGCCCTACATAATTTTTACACAAATTTTCCTTTAAATTTTATTTTATAAAGAAAAGAATGACCGACTGGAAATAATAATATAACGCATTGTTTTCACGTTTAGTGTTCACGTTACACACGTATACGTGAATTTTATACACGTATGCGTATACGTGTATAACGTGTATAACATACGTGTATAACGTGTATAACATACGTGTATAACGTAAATGTTATGCACGTTATAATACAAGTATACGTGTCACGTTACGCACGTATACGTTATACACGTATACACGCTTCTGCCTTCATTGGGCAGTTTTTCCATGGAAAGCAAAAGAATTTCCTTAAAGTAACTAAATTGAATAAAAATATGCTAGTGGGCTGCGCCCCCTGCTCGCTAACGCTCGCCAACCCCCGAAAATTGCTACGCAGTCTTATATGGTTTGCTTCACGAAATTCTAAGAATTCAAAACAATCCATTCAAATCCATATAACAACTTTTTTTTAAAAAAATTACACCTTTTTAGTAAATACTAAGTCATTAAAATTAATTTGAATTCAAATAAATGACATGTAATTCGTTAAACCTATTAGAAATATGCTATAGTATAAAATCTTAAGATAAAATTTTTAAAACTGATATCTCTTTAAAAAGGTTAAAATTTTGGCTATAATTAAGTCTATTAAAAATTGAAATAAGTGAATTGCAATGGAAAAACCTGTATAAGCAAATAAATACTAGTAAAACAAATAAATTCGTGATATAAATCAAAAATCGTCAAATAAATTCGCAATATATAAATTCGTGAAATAAAGCGTTTTCGACAAAATACTAAAATAGAGATCTATCGACAAAGACTACTCACTTCTGCCGAGCTTATACTCTCTCTGTTTATTTCAGTTTCCGTTTTTAAAAGCGCTATATGTTGAGCCATCTCAGCTAGATTTGGCATGTGACATTTTTAGCGGCAATCATTGGTCGATTTTCTAGCGTTGCCATTCGGGGAGTTGTAATGAGGCTTTTTTTGTCGCCGTGTAAGAGAAATATATATATAGATATCTGCTATAAATAGGAAAGACACTTTAAATTACCACTGTAGATATTAATTTTTACACTAACATTTATATTTCAAATAAAATAAAAACTATTACAGTTTCCTTGCTTTTTGATGAAATTCCGTAGAGTTAAACTTAATATGCTGGAGAGTGAAACCGAATTTTGGAATTGGAAGTGAAACCTAATTTTGAAATTTAACTCTTTAATTTAATAATACGAAAAAATAATTTTGATCATTTATTTTTTTGAATGTAATCATGATACATTTAAAGAGCATTTTTATTTCTGAAACAATATTCACACATGTTTTGTAGTGAAATATATACTAATTTTAGAACTATACACACTTTACTTCACTCTGGTGTAGAGTAATTATATCAAACCATGTTCTTTTGAATACACATTGCTGTTAAAAAAAAAACAATCAAACAAGATAAGTTATGCTTTATATTTAATCTATATAAATCCCATGTATATAAAGTGTATCAAAAATTTTTAGTAAAATAAATTTAAAGGTTTTGTTTTAAAGTCTTCTTTAATAAGAGCTTCATTTTACACCCACTTTATAATTATGTAATGTAATGTTATTATATAATTATGTAATGAATTATATAATAACAGCATGTATTATGTTATGCATGTATTATGTATAATATATTATGTAATGAAGCATGATAGTGTTAAATAAAAGAAAGGAATAAAAATATTTGATTAATAGTTTAAAAAAAGGATTTTTTAATATCTAAGTAACTTAAAGATTATAGAAAAAGTGGAAAAATAATATATTACTCATCTGGATCCTCGTTTTCTTCTTTTTCTTCATTTTCTTCACTTTTTTCACTTTCTTGTTTTTGTAAACATGAAAAACATGTTTTACAATTCTCTATGCAAGAATTCATATTCCTTGAACTTTTCATAATTTATCGAAAACTTAGTTCACAAAATATCAGGAATTAGCAATCGAGTTTAAAAAAAAAACATTTAAAGTATAGAGTTTAAACAAATACGCGTGCTGCCATATGTGATATTTACTTTTAGTTACTCATTAG